ATCCCTTCGACACCTCGTGGTTGCATAGGCTGGTGTGCTTCTTCCATGTGGGCTTTGTTGCTTCTGAGCTTGATGGCTGCTTGAATACCTTCAAGCCTTTAAGACCCCAGACGCTATACTTTTTGATAGCCGACCACTGCCCGTTCTTAGCACTGAGCTTCACCGTGTCCTGTGATTGGGTGGGGCGCACGTGCCCTGACCCGGGCTCTCTAGTCAAGGACTTCTGCTTCTCTGGAATAACCAGACAAGCCGTGGGAGGCCAAGGGCCTTCTCCCAGACGTCGCTCCGCTGGTCTTCAGGCTCCCAGTACTCCCACTGAAGGGAGGAGTTCGAACACGTGGTACTGAACCCTGCCCCCTCTCTGCAGGCTAGGGGAGCCCAATTCCATTCACCAGCCCTCAGACAGGTGACTCAGCTGACACCTTCCCCCCCTCCCGTGGGACTTAGATCAGGAGACAGTGAGAGTGGAGATGTGAATGTCATGTGGATGGTGCATCACTTGCGTCTGCTGCTTTAGTTCTGAAGGGGCAGCCCTGGGGGGACGGGACGGCAGCTGATCACCTACCTGGTGGTAGATCCTCCGCACGAACATGCCCCTGGTGCAGGCCTGGAGGACAACAGCAGCCCTGCGGACCCTCTGGTAGGCCCGGCGGGCCCTGAGCATCCGGTACTGCTTCTGTAGCACGATAGCCGCCCAGGTCTGCCGCAGGTAGTGGGCCAACCTGTGGGGAGGCACCCGAGGGGTCAGCACAGCCTCACAGAATGCAGGTCCCCTCTGCCCCCCACCAGGTATCTCTTACCCCTTCCTGATTCTAGCAATGTCCGAGCACGGGCCCGCAGAAAGCACCATGCTGCCTCTGAATTGTCCTGGGTCTGTGCACAGAGTCACACGCATTCTAGGCATAACCCGGACCTCCTCCTGCCCCTCTTGTCCCTCTCGGAAACCCGGGCTGTCCTGAAGTGTCAGCATCAGCACTTCCCACCCAGGTGCCTGTCTGTCCTTCTTCCCCTCCCTGGGGACGTCAAGGGTAGTGCCTCCCCGCTGAGTGTCACCTCCACCTAGTCCAGGGTCTAGCGCAGCGAGTGATTGTCCACTAGCTGCTGAAGGGCAAGTGCTCAGGTCCACACAGACCCCTCCCACCTTCTCCTTCCTGCCAGGGCCCACTGTGGGTGGAGGGCTGATGAGGAGGCTTCCAAAAGATGTGGGGAAATGCCCCATTCTTTTCATTCCATTTCCCTATGAATCTTCTCCTCCCCTCTGTTCCATTCCTGCGTGCCCCACTCCCCTCCCCTCAAGCAAAGCAGAGAGTCAGCCTGGCACTCAATACCCTTTGATATTCTATGACCACCTGGCTCCTAGTGCCTGCTCAGGCAGACACGCAGGGCATTGCAAGTTAGGAGCCAGGTGCTATTGAGCTAACCCCGTGCGCGGCAGAGCAGAGCAGCGCCCCCCAGGGCTCTCAAGAGTTGATGGCTTCCTAGTAGGACGGCCAGGCCTTTCTTCTGAGGCTCCTCTGGTAGACTCAAAAGCCCCATCTTTCTGTTGGCAGCTCCCTCCCTCATTGCTCACACCCAACCTGGGCGGGGGCTTCAGAAGACAGAAGGATGCCCAAGAGCCCTCTTTGCAGCCCGCCCGCTTGCCGAGGGGCCTTTGTCCCTATAGCTCTCCTCCGGGATTTTCCTGCAGGTGAGGTGGGTCCTGAAGGCACTGGCAACACACACTCCCTGGACGGAGATGGCACCCTCGTCACCTCACTGCCCAGAGCCTCCTCGGAGCCCTGCGTCAGGGACACCTGGTGATGGTCACTGGTTGACATAGAAGGCCGGGCATGAGCTTTGGGCTCGATGACCCACCCTCCTCTCATTGCTGTGGACTTTGTCCTGAGCTGCGGTGCTGGAGGTGGAGATGAGTGACAGCCAAGCTCTGTGGCTGTGTCCACACATGCAGGCATGCAGGAAGATCTCTGGGTTGCCAGCTCTGGGCATGCACCCCGGAACCCTCGGTTCCCTAGAGTTAAGCGGAGGAGGCTGAGCTGCCGATGTCACCTTTCCTGGTGCTGACTAACGCTTCTCCGAGCCATTCCCTGTTGGGAGAATATCCCGGGTTTCAACTGGGGCTTGGCCCCGAATCTGCAGGCTTGGGTGGGAGCTTGGAGAATGGTCTTCTGAGAGACTGGGGCCTCCATCCATAGCTCAGACAGTACACCCAGTGACCTCAGGGAGACACGGAGGGCTCAGACAAGCTGCTGCTGCTGCTGCTGCTGCAGCTACAGCACAGTGTTGGGCTGGGGCCTGGTTGCCATGGCCCCTCTGCCCCGAGGGAGGGAGCTGCCGGTGTTTAGACACTTCTCTCTCTGGATGGCCAGGGTTCAGCCCCAGGGAGCTTCAGGTATTTAAACACCTCTCTCTCTGGACGGCCAGGTTCAGCGACTCCCAGGGGGCTCTCCCAGGCCTTCCCAGCCCAGGGTTGTGGAACTGGGGCTGCGGGCATGCAAAGAACGGATGGGCTGCTGCAAAACCATTCTTTCTGCCCCCGACTAGGGCTGGTGAGATGAACCAGGAGACCTGAGACCAGACCTGCTCCCCGAGGTGAGAGGCTGAAAGCTGGGGTGCAGATGGGCCTTACAGGAACCATTCCAGTGAGCGGTGAGGAGAGATACCAGCCGGCCTCCCCAATATCCCCTCTATTGCCCCAGGCATGCACGGATGGGGGGCTGTGGTGGGGTGGGGGTGGGGGCTCACCTGCGGGCCAGGAATCCTCGGCAGTACCTCTGCAGGGTCAGGGTAGCCCTCTTCAGCCTGCGGTACTTCACCTTCTGCAGCCAGCCTCGGACCGTCTTTTGAATCATGATGGTGGCTGCCCGGAACCGGTCGGCCCGCAGCTTCTCCAGGTATGCCACCTGGCCTGCTCGGAAGAAGATCTTGGTACGGCCGAATTGGAACTTGTCGGGATCCTTTACAAGGTGGGAGGAGAGCTGGTTGGTGGTCCGCGGAACAGCGAGGGTGCATTGATTTATCCCATGCCTTCCACCACCCCAGCTCGTCACCGGAAGCCACACACAAGCCCCTCCTCTTTAGGTGCCTACACACGCAGCAGACACCATGCCCCTACTCTGTGCCAGGCGCGCTGAGTCAGTGGTGAGCAAGATGCTTGCCCGCAGAGAGCTGGCACCATGGTCAACGGGGACAGGCAAGCCAACGGAAACACAGAGCAGGTCTGTGCCGCTTTGGGTCCATGACACTGTGGAATAGGATGCTGTGGGAGTTGGATGTTGTGCAAATGCTGTTTCCTGTGCTTGTTTGCTTTTTAAAACACCGTATTACGGATTTGGCAAATGCTAACCCAAACCCACTGCTCTTGGGTCAAGTCTGATTCACACCGACCCTGAAGGACCAAGTACAGTTGGGCCCTGAGGTTTCAAAAGCTGTACCTCTTTACAAAAGCAAGCAACCTGACCTTCCACCCTCAGAGGGACTGGTGAGTTTGAACCGCCATCCCTGCACTGAGCAGCTCATTGTGCAAGCCACGACACCATCAGGGCTCCTTACGTTTGGCACACGGACCCGCCTAGGTTGTGGCTGATGGCATTCGCCGGTTATCTGAGCCCATGTTGCTGAATCACCTTTGCACTGCTGCCTGCACATCGACAGTGGCCTTTGCCTCTTGCTGCCATCCTCACGAGCAGTGTGGCTGCTGCGCCTGGGGACCATGAAGCACCTTACAGTGCCGAGGCTAGAAGCCTGTTCCCAGGAGGGGTGGGAACCGGAGGGTGCCCTTCCCAGCCAACATGTGGCTCTGTGCAGTCTGTGTCTCCCCGCGCAGTCCCCGGAGCACCAGGGTCCAGGAGGCGGCCTACGGCAAAGGGGGCCATAACAAGCTGCAAGCTCTCGTGTAGGTTGTCAAGCACTGCCCATCAGTGCCCCGGGAAGATGACTATCCTGCACTGCGACATTCAGCAGGCTGCGTCGGCAGGCACTGCGGCTTAGACTGTGGGACCAGGGGCAACTCACAGCGGCTGCCTCTGCCAAGTGGGGGCAATACTCGCGTCTACCTCGTGAGAGTTCAATGGGAGGAGGTGCTGATGCAGTAAGAAAAGTGCCCAACTGCCCGTAAGGAATGCTCGGAAACCGAGAGCCATGCTGGGCAGGGGTCAAGTCAGGGCAGGCTCATGTCCCCTTACATTCACCACAGGGAGTGACAGTTGGGATGCATGCTGGGGACGCAATCACAGGAGGACCCCCGATGCTTAGGTGTCCACAACTGGTGAGCTGCCCAGGAACCCATGACCAAAATTCAAGGGGACCTGCACCCTCATTGGGGGACAGAAGTAGAGAACTGTTGGCCCCTGGAAGACTCAGTGAGCACCTCCACCGGGAGGCCAGGCTTCCAGACCAGAAAACGTCTTTGAGCATGTTGGCAGGAGCTGGGTAGAGGCTGGCCAGGCTGGCAACAAGGGGAAGTCCTTTCAGGCAGGGGTCATTTCAGCATGGATTCTTAAGAGTTTGCTTAGAGGCAATTCCATCCCTCCCTTCCTCCCTCCCTCCTTCCCTTCCCTCCCTCCCTTCCTTTCTTGCATCCATCCATCTATCCCACAAACTTTCAGTGGGTTCCTTCTGTGTACCAGGGCCTGTGCCCATCACTGAGGGGGAGGGGCCCGGGCAAAGCCATGGCCTCTGTAGTCTGGCTGGGGCTGGGGGCCATGAGGACTGCTTCTTTGGACCTCAGGGCAGCACGTGCTCTGGGCGGCTCTGGCACCCACACGGAGGGGGAGGCAAGAGCTGAATGAGAGAAAGCTGAGGGCAGAGTGGGCACGGGAGCTGGGCACTGAGCAGCTGGTGGGCACAGAAGAGGCAGCTATGCCAGGCACGGCCCAGAGGTCCGAGTGGGTCGAAGGGTGCCCCGGGCAGAGGTGCCTGGTGGTGTCCGCTGTAGGGATTGTGTATGAGCAGAAGCTGATGTGGCCTAACCAGGGTGCCCTCCCGCGTACTCCCCATTCAGAAAGCAGAGGTTTTGCTGGTGACGTCGAAGAAATCCAGGGTCGGTGGGAGGAAATGGATCTCTGGCCCCGGACGAGGGGTGACGGCCGTGTGGCACAGTGGTCTCCCTGCCAGCCATGACTACATGTCTGTGGCGAGGCTCAGTTTCCAGCCTTTGTGCAACAGCGGCCAGCTGACCTTCATCATGGGCTCCCTCGCCCTTGAAAGATGAGATGTCCAAATGTAGACACTGGTCGATCAGCCCCCAGAAAACCTCATTAAGTACAGTCCAGCCAGCGGCAGCCCTCACTGTGCCAGACTGCCACCGTCCCCTCCCTCCCTACTGCGGGGGAGGGCAAAAGGACTCTTCTTTCTCAAAGGCAGCCTTTCAAAGGCCACATGTTTAGGAGCACCCTGGGCCTCCCTGCCTCCAGCTAAGGGCCGAGAGACCAAGACGAGGCCCGGAAGACAACTGTGCCACTGACCAAAGACACAGAGCCTCACCCCTCAAATCGCGAGCGCGTGCTGACAAGCTGCTCCAGAGGACAGACTGACAGACGCCTGGTGACCCACACTTGACATTTTTGATAAGAATTCTTACTGCTTTCTTAAAGGGCATTTTGCAAACACATGGCAGCAGGCAACTTTTGTCTCGAGAACATTAATGACTGAGCTCCTCAGTTATCTCTGCAGGAATCCCTGCCCAGAGGGGGCAGGTGTGCGGCACAGAGGGGTAGGTGCTCACCTGCTAACGGAGAACTAGGTGGTCGGAAGCACCCAGAGGTGCCTGGGAGACGGGTCTGGCACTGGCGGTCGGCAGTGGAAGCCCCACCAGGCCGTTCTGTTTTGCACTGAGGGCTGCCCTGCGTCTGAGTGGACTCCAGGGCCACTGGGTTCTTGGTTTGGATTGAGAACACGAGGCAAGAGGGGGAATTACACTCGGCTATCCTATGGCATAGTGGTTACGCGTGAGGCTGCAAATGGCAAGGTTAGCAGTTTGAGACTACCACGAGGCTTTCCACTGCCGTGGAAAGGTTCAGTCTGGGAAACACCCAAGGGCGGTTTTACCCCATCCTGTAGGGTTGCCGTGAGTCACAACAGACTCTGGCAGTGAGGGATAATATTTAGGAGCCCTGGTGGTGCAGTGGTTAAGTGCTCGCAGTGAATTGACAGGTGGGCGGTTCAAACCCACCCCTACCCCCTACTCCACAGGGGCAAGATGTGGTAGTCTGCTTCTTTGAAGATTGACAGGCTTGGAAACCCACAGGGGCAGATCCACTCTGCCCTCTAGGGTCACCATGAGCCAGACTCGACTTAATGGCAAGGAGCTTTGGGTAATGGCTCTGCACCCCACCCCCAGTGCTCCGAGGAGCATTGAAATGCTCCAAAGTTGGGTCCAGCACAAAAGGTCCCCACGGCTCTGTTTTATTTTTCTATACCCCTCGTCGCAACTGTCAAGTGACGTCAGGTCACTGAACCAAGGAATCGGTTTTCCTCTTTGAAACGGTTCTCAGGGTGAGGGGCTGTGATAAGGATAAGCTGCAAGATGTACAGCTGCTGTCCCCTCTGCTGATGCCCAGTGTGTACCCAGGTGCTCTTAATCAGAGCCCCGCAGGGTGCTGAGCTATGGCGCTCCCGGCCTTGGTTAAAAGCCAGGGGCGGCCTCTCCATGAGCCTCAGCGAGCTGCACAGTTTCACGTCCTGCCTATGGGCCGGCCCACGAGGAGGCCAGATGGTGTGTCCATGACGCAGGTGAAGGGTCTGTACTCCTGCACTCCGGTAAGTGTTGGGCCTGCTCGATGCAGGCTGGCAGTTCAAACCCACCCACTCTTCTGTAGGAGAAAGACGAGGCTGTCCG